TTTTACCATATTGGGAATGCAGACACTTTGGCTCCAAGGGGAGCAAAAACATTAGCACCTTAGCACTACTGTGCTACCGCAGGCTACGTCATATCGTGGGCGTGCTACAGAAGTTAACGGGCCTGCAACATGAGCTGCTGGGCTTGCCACAACGAGCCAATGGGCTTAGATCAGTGATCTCACACTGACAAGACGTCACACTGGCACTTTTTTTTTTTCAAGGGGGGCTAGAACCGAGCGTTACATGCAGCTAATGCTGCAGCTAACAGGAGGAGGTAGGAGAAGCCGCGTTTCCGCAGACTTTGAATTTTTGCACATAGATGTGCCTAACCATGAACAGGACACTTGGAAAACACACTAAAGAGCATATAAAACCAGAAAAAGCATAATATGACCCCTTTAAGTCTTATGTAGACCTTAAGATATTATTGCACATTATGAGGATATTATTGCTCATTGAATGTTATTGCAGATTGTGTATTCTAACTGGTCTTCATTATTGCTTCTCCTCTTCAGTGAAGTTGGTTGGAGGACATTAGAATGGGGAGAAGTCACAACTAAGGTGCCAACTGCTGTTCAGGTTGTCTGTTCTCACTGTATAAAGTTGCCAATTGTTTTTATTGCCAGTCAATTTGGGACCAGGTCTTGATCGAGCTTGCAGGGGGGGAAGCTTTGATTGAACAGCATGATGATCCAAAAGAAAATTAAATGTGAATGAAGATTTAAGAACAATAACATGCAGTGTGCATGAATGACAACATTAAGGATATGAGCTATTTTTTCTCTAAAACCCTCAGTAAAAATGCTCTCTCATGAGGTAAAATAAGTCAACGACAGAACGAAAAGGAATGCATTTTTTTACATAGCTGTTTATGTACTTTCATCACTGGATGCAGATGCAATTCAAGATTTGTGTGCAGTAGGAAGGTGGGCATTTTAACCAGATTACTGATATGAAATCTTACATCAGTCATTTCCTTTTTTGTTTGTAAGGGATGGTTTCACTATTCAACCCTTGGTTGGTGTAGAGGTCAGCTTGATAACCTCCAACACAGTCAGTTCCAACATCCCAGCGTCTACCACACAAATTGTGCCAGCGTGTTAGTTTGTGTGTGTCTGTGTGTGTGTGTGTGTGTGTGTGTGTGTGTGTGTGTGTGTGTGACCCTGGTCTCAGTGGTTGCAGCTTTTCAGCGATCCCCTCCAACCCTCTGTTACCTCTGCCAGGTGAGATTGCCTTTCCATCGCTCTGCAGCAGCCTTTTTGGACAAAGGGCAATGAAACAAGCTTGGCTAACCCTTGTTGCTAACTAGACTGAGGGAGGTCCTTTCTGCCAGAAGAAAAGAACTAACAAACAGGCTAGAAATCAAATCCATCATATCTTTCGTAGCACCAAAGACAGAATCAATAAACAGTGGCAGGCAAGAAGAGCCAACAGTTAGAGCCAACTAAAATTAAAGTAAAGAGTGAATAAGAATGAAAGGAGCAGAGGCAAATAGGGCAGCAGGGAAAAGTAATTGCACTTGAGTTTTTTTCCTTTTTGAGGAAATCCTGCTTAGCCGAGAAAGTACTTTATCAAATTCTGCATCACATTCTTTTATAACTGACTGCCTTGGCCTCTTGCCATGTTCTGAAAATATTATCTTAGCACACTGACTAATTTACTGGTTAGCTGAGCACTAATGATTGAATGCTGTACTATGCTGCCCAAAGCAGTGAGCACTGGTGTGTGCGTGCATGTGTATTTTTGTATCTGTGTGTGTGTGTGTGTGTGTGTGTGTGTGTGAGAGTGAGAGAGGCCTCATGACTCATGTTGAATCCCTCCCTTCTCTGCATGTGCCGCCCCCTGGGGTTGACAAACACACGCGTCGCACATCGACACGCTGAACAGCGCTCTGGGGGACAGGCTGCACACATTTTTTTTACAACGGGTCAGAAATGGCACTTTGATACTTATGACTCTTTGGAGAAAATCGTTGCAAAAAGGATCGAGTTTCATTTGGCATATAAAAAATGATTAATTCCGTGACAAAAAGGGCCACAATTGGACTTAATTTATCGCCATTAAATGCCCTGATTGATCACACGTTTACAACCTGATTTGTCTCAATTTGTTGTAAACACAAATTGAATCAGATTATACATTGATCCTGAGCCTGGGGTTAAATTTGTCATTTTTTTGCTGATTAGGATAAATTAGACAGGGTGTCAAATGAAGCGTAAAGTTTTATCTCTTTTTTCCTAGAATGGTCAATCATCGTTATACAGTCTTTGCTTTCTGGTCTATTGTCACTTAAGAGAGAAAGCCAAGAAGTATATTACATAATAATAATATTCATATTAAAAGTTTTATTCCAACATGACCAATTTTTTTACCTTTGCTTGAATCCAAAGTATAAAATATTACCCCATCTAACTTTAAATATTATTTTAAACAAAGTATTAATCATACTTCATAGTTTTACTGCATGACCATACCGGCTGTTTCTCCAATTAAGAGCGTCTGTCAGCCTGTTTGATGGTTCATAACTGCCCCTTTTAAAGATCACCGCTACACCATTAAGCAGGAAAGGATTTTTTCTCTCTTCTCGCACCTGAACACACACATTAACATGCACAGATAGAATGTTCAAGGCCATCCCAGAGTACATCGCAAAGCGCTGCTCTTTAACAGCTCCGCTTGCAGTCCCAGATTGTGTTGTCTTGGCAACGGAGGCCAGCATGGGAGGAGGGAAACAGTCCTCCCCCATTCTCTGACTCCTTGTCCGCCTACACCTCTGTCTATCTTTCCGGCTTTCTCTCTCCGTCTTCTCATCCTGATTCCACTCGTGTCTTTTAACCCCTGTTGCTTTTAAATAGAAGACTAAAAAACAAACTTGTCTGTGCTGTTTTGGTTGATATTAGACTGGTGCATAATATACTCAAAACAGCGGAAGACCAACTAAGGCAGGTTTCTCACCCATGCAATACACTCACAAGCCACCAGTCGGTCTAAATTCTTGAAGAAATGTGCAGGTCGTCAGCATAGCGGGTTAGAGAAACCTTGTTAGTACATGCTGACTTATGCTATATAAACCTCATTGTTCATTGCTCAACCACAGTGGCTCATTGCTCAACCACAGTGGCTTCAATGAAACATAACTAAATTCTAACCCTCAAGGAGCAATATCTTGAATTACTTAAATCCAAATTATGATCCCTGCATTTTTGTAGCTTCAGAATCTTGCAACTGCTCTGATACGTCATTCTGTCAAGTCAACAAGACTCAGTGTGCTCAACTTGTTTGACTAGATGGACTACATGGACCTAAAACTGTGCCAGCTTGCATGCAGATACCAAAAGAAGTCTGTTTCTATATTAGACTTTCTGGGATTCAATCCCATACCTTAAACAAATAGAATTCCAAAATAAGGTTGTACATAAGAATGATATTTAGTGCTCCTGAAGCATGCAAGTACATTTCATAACAATTTTACCATGTGACTGTAATTTTTCTAGTAATGTTGTCGATGCAAACACACACACTGTAAACATGTGTATACACTAAGATGTCATCTGCATATATGTGAACATGCATCGCTGAATCTCATGTTCATATTTGTAATTTACAATCCAGTGACTTACTTTGCCGAGCCAAAAAAAAAAACTCACCCCTCATCATTATCTACATAATACTCACAAACAAACGGATATAAACATGTACCCAGGGGAGGCAAGACAGGCTCTTTGAAAAACAGGTCGGGTGGAAGTCCTGGGGTTAGATTTTGGAAGAAGTTGTTCTGGGACTTAATTAGTAAAAGGCCCCACATTGGAACAGGCCAAGTGCCCATGAGCTCTACTCTCAAATCTGGAACAACTAAGAAACACAACACACACACTAAAGGTGGCAAAACCAATTCTTACATGCACCCACACCCAAACACACACATATAAATAGGTTATGCTTTAATACACAACACATAGCTGCAGAGCTATGCTGTGTAAAGTGTAAAGGATGATTCTAAAAAGCCGAAGCTCCTATAGATGTGCACCAACAGCGAATAGAGAATGAAAGGAGCTCTTCACAGTAAATCGTTTGACTATCAAACACTCAACAGTTGGTAACACGATCTCCAAATAAACATCTCTATATTGCTGTATAATCCACTCCTATATCATCTATATAAACACTGTTTTTATAGTTTGTTCCAAACAAACCCCAATAAATCCATTTGCAACTAAATCTCCAAACCAGCATCTCTTTCTTGATCTATAATCCACTTCTATAGAATCTGTATTATCACGGCTGTTTGATATTCTCTAAACAAACTCCTACATATACATTGCTAAATATGTAAACTCTGGCACAGATTCAGGATAGTCTGGCAGCTGCTATATATAAAAAGGGTGTTTGAGAAAACCATGGCTTTTAATATGTACAGATTATTTGCAGAAAAGAGCACTAAACTGGGATTGGAGACATCCAATATTATGACTTTGTCATCTTGAAATCAATACCAACTGTTGTAAATATAAGATGAATAATACCACTGGTAGGATAACCAGAAAACATTTCATTTTTGATAGGAAAAATAATTTAAACTGAGGACCTTTTTCTGTGATAACCTGAGGGTGTATGTCACTCATTTAACCATTTAAATCAGACAAACTGTCACAAAAATCTGCATGACCTTAACTTTGCCAAGATAAATGACTGATGAAGTATACTACCTTTCTCAAAATGAAAAGAATCCTAGCTATAGATTTGGTGCCAGACTAGCAGACTAGAAGTCCAACAAATAACAGATTTTATCTGCTAATTTCTTTTCAAAACACAAAACTATATTCAAACTGAATCCATCCAAAGTTTCTAACAAAGTCTGGTCGAGGTTACAGACAAGCCCAACTCTAAGCAACGGAAGCAAAGGAAGCTAATCAAAATTAAAGAGAAGAAGAATAAAATATCAAAGAGCAGTAACTCCCTGAACCATAACAACATAAAAAAAAAAGGCTAGGTCACTTACTTGCAGTGCTTGTGAGGTCCACTGAGCGTCTCGATGACAAAACATTCACCTCCGTTCAGACAGTAAGCCAGGTCCTTCTCATGACAGGGTTTGAAATGCTCCGAATGCAGGGGAGGAACTGTTGGAGATGCTGCAGGGAGAAAAAAACAAAAGAACGTCTTGTTAGTCACAGTCAAACCCAAAATATAAATATCTTTATTGTGAATGCATTATCCCTCTAACAAATAGGCTTATAGTTAACTGTCTCCCAGCAGCTTTTTACTCTTCAAACTTAATTATTGTCTCTTTAGTCTACAATTCCTCAAATAAATCATTGCATCATCCATAAATTGCCGCAGAAACAAATGGAGCAGTGAGTCAGTTTTCCAGCAGAGGCTACTTATTCTCCATCCAGGGATCCATAACGAGTGTCTGTCTCATAACATACTGCACATTGTGGATAATAGCAGCACACTATTGTTTGTTTAGGCCCCAGCAAAAAGATGGATGGAGGACGGGTAATAATCTGTCCTGCTGTGATTAATACTCTGTGGACACACGAGTGCTGTTGGAGAGCTTGACTTCTCTCAGCGATTTATCACGACATGCATGGCTGAGTGTGGACAGTACACACAATTGAGGGGAATCTGCTTAGCGTGAGTTAATGGATGAGCTTATCAGTGAAATTAATAAGTGGAGCTACAGCTTAAGAGGAAATATGGTAAAGTGACCGGATCCTTAAAACTGTACAGTTCAATGAATGATGTTGGGAGTTATTTGTGGACTTGCTGTGGATAATCTATAAAAGCAGGAAAAGAGGAATGAAAACGTAGATCTGTTGGAGAGTTGGTACCCAGCCATCTATCATGCATGTTTTTGATGCAGTTGGTAAGGGCAGGGCTTTCAGACGTGGGAAGAAATCAGATCTGCGCCACAGTTGATGTTCTTATTAACACCAGAGCAGACTGCTGACTGTTTCCTTGATGCTTACAAATGAAAAACGAGTCTGCTTCTGGATCTCATTAGGCCATCCTTAGCCATGTTTTCTAAAGTCGCCGGGTGAACGGTGATGATCCACAACTTTCTGCCTCAGTGATTGAAAATCAGTTGTACTTACAGGATGTTATTACCACTACTATACTTATTACTGCATTAGATTGTCCTTTAATGGTGTGTGGAAGATGCATTCAAATGAACTGGAGCTTTCTCAATCAAGAGATACTTAGGGATTATTAATAAGATGTGTTTTTTTTTTTTTTGAGGGGGGGGGTGGATAGTAGAGGAGAGGTTTCAGTAGACCCTCAAATCCCTTAATCAGCACTTTGAGGGTTGAGTGTGGGGCTGCTGGGTGAAATTATGAGATGCCGAATGGTGATGAGGCTCAAGGGATCCTAAACAACCCTTGGTAATTGGCTGCTGGGGGACTAGTTTCCCTGTGAGAGGGGAGAAGGCTGGATTGAGTCAGCAGTGAGTTGTGATTTTATTAGGTGAAGCAGTCAACATGCTGAAGATGAGGGACTTAATCGTAGTCGTAGCTTTCATCCCCCACAAAGTTGACACTTTAGACAACAAGGTAAACTAATTGAAACCACAACTGCTGTATTATATTTAAGAGGAACAACATCATATCAACACATCAAGATGAGTTTATGCTTTGCGTTCTCAGCCCAGGTTGTGAAATATACTCACATTTTTCAGTGCCAGTTTAAAGGACCTTCTGTGTTAAAGAACTGATGTTAAACATGAAATGGTTTGTTTGGTAAGGTAAAGGCATGGGGATTCTGTGGGGTCAAAATCTGATTGGTCACCCCAAATCCTAAATTAGAATTGGCTTTTGCCTGGTTATGGTCAAACCAACTACTGGCTGTACAAACGAATGCTTGTAGTTTTTCTGGCCTTTCAGTGGAGCACATTTTTGTTTGTTTTTTTGTACTTTGTTACTGAAAAACATGTATTATTTTTTAGTCATAAAAATACACACATACAAAGGAGTACCAGCGTGACACCTGTGAGTAATCAGTTACACACAATGTGATTAATGGAGACAAAAATGGTACATGTGTCAGACACATACTTCATGCCACAATTATATAAATATTTCCTGGTTGGGCCAACACACTCAAAACAATCTGGACATCCCCTTGGGTTTTGATCCAAAACAGCTTGGTTAAAATAGCAAACACTTTATATTGTACAATAATAGTAAGTAATTCAGTGTTGACCTGAACCTCCCAGCACTTTAAGTAAGTGACAAAGTAGAAGTTTTCTACTCTGTTTTTCAATGTAAAATCATTTATGTAATGTAACTGCCCTGGAGTAAAAATATAGTAAACATTAACTTTTTCCATTTAGGTAACCTTCAGCTTGATAATGAGGCTCCAACTGTGAAAGCACAAGCATTGCATAACATGCTATACATTATAAACTAATTGTATCTACATTGAATCCTTGTTTATTAGCCTGTTTTCCCCTTTGTGGTGCTACATGTGCAATGATGCTGATGGGTGACACAGCAGGCCATTCAAGCCTAGTGTGTCTGCCTGTGCTCATTCCAGACTTTCACACCTGAAGTTGGCAAGATCTCTTTGAGAATAATGTGAAAATGATGATCTGTAACTTGCATGACCCTCTTGATATTGAAGCAAATCAGCCAAAGACAAACTGTTGACTGCAGAGCAGGGGTCATTAACTATATTTATACAAGGGCCAGCTTTATTCTAGACAGAGACTGTGGGAGCTGGACTTTAAAATATGCTTGAATGTAAGCCCTGACAGCTGTCAAGCCCAATGTGAAGAAGTCAGTGTCACCTAATGCAAGTTCTTCATTTTATTGTTTAATCGCCCATTGATATTCTGGGGGCCGCAGCTTTGGGGGGCCAGATGTGGCCTGTGGGCCACCAGTTGATGATCACTGCTGATGTGTTTTGTTGATCCAGATTTCAGTAGGTGAATTAAGATTGCACATTGTAAAACTAAATGATGTATGTATTTGTAACAATTAACATGATATTTATCTTACCTTAATCAAGCTACACTTACCAGAAACAGGTTAACAAAGCATTTAAGAATAAGTTGCATCTTTATTTTCTAACATCTACTATTATCCCACTTATGGGTTGCAGTTTTGCAACTTAGAAATGACAAAAATGCACAGCATAAACATCGGTCCAAATAAACACGTAGCTATGAACTTTCTCAAGTTTTAATTCGAAGTTAGTTCCCACTGAATCACAAAAAGAGAGAGAACACTCAGAATAGAGTGGGAGAGAATTCACATTATTACAATGCCAATTTGTATGTCCTGACATGAATTCTTTGGCTTGCTTCACATTCTGCATACAGACACACTTCAAAACAAAGGCCAGAATCTCAAAGCCCTGCTGCTTCTTTCTTAGCTCTTGCACTGCCACGCTACTAGAATATTTTCAAACATAAAGGATTTCCCTGCAGACACGATTTCATGCTTGAACTGGGCTGTGCTGTTTTGTTAGCCCTGGCAATAAGTGACAGAAGTGCCATTTGTCGTCCTCTCCCCCTTTGTTTTCTTGTTGACAGAGTTGTCACAATGCTCTGTAGGTTGTTTAGCTTAACACTCGTCACCTGTCAGCTCGGAAGCAGCACGAACTCGAAGAATTGTGTCATTTTTAAGAGGGAATGCCAGAGTTGACAGAAAAAAAATCATTTTGGTCGGCTGAAAATATCACTGCTGGATTTGAAAACATTGCTCACTGAAGGCAGACGTCAATCACTGCGGGAAAAAAACAGTCCAATTTACCCCACCCTGCTGTGAAGAGAGAAAGTCAGAGAAGCAGCGCAGGGATCAATAAACCATCGGGTGCTGAATAACACAACTCTCAACTTCAATCTCTCTTTTCCTTCGGTTGTCTCCATCTCTCTGCCTATAGGAAGAAAACTAGGAAGGTTTGAGGAATCTGTTGATTTTCTCCTTTGCATTAAGGCACAACTTTGGCTGCAAAGGAGAAAGGGCAGCAGCAATGATCTTTAAATAATTGAATCACAAGACCAATCAGATCCATTTCTGAACTGTCTGGAAGACTCGCAAAGAGCTGAATATGCAAAGGAGATCAACACCAAGATGAAACCAATCACTACTGGGGCTAAGTGATGCAATATTCATGATTTAATTATTGTTCTTCCGTTTTGTAAATCCTCGGCAGTGAGGGAATATTCAGGCTAAATTTGGGAGTTCATGAATACCAATTTGGAGAGCTGATATTGTTACCCTGTCTCCATCAAAATAGGCTTTCATACTACTCATTTACATGACCCAAATAGCAGTGAAGAAAGCTATCACCACTCTGGACAGTGGCCTGCATCCAGAGCCCAGTTTGTTGCCAGGTTTAAAACCCTCAACTAAGGTAAAGATATATGTCCTGCTAAGGCTCAAACTTCTGTGATAGTGGGGTACTCCATAGATTTGATTCTGTACTTAACCATTAAATGTGTAACTTTAAGGACATGGGCTTTATCATACCCTGTTGAATTTGTTTCATTTCATCCAATTAATTTCATAATTTCCCTGGTATATTTTTTAAACTACTGTAAATATTGGTCAAAAAATGTTAAGTATTTGAAAAAGCATTGGTTTTCTTTGAAATGTTGAACGGCTTGAGATACTTTGAGTTCAAATGAGTAGGATATGGAAGACAAACATTTTTGCATCAAAAACAACATGCAATAGAGTCGACCAAACCCACGTGATACCTTTATCATCAGGAACCTTTAACAATGTTTATCTATTCATCTTCTTCTTACCCCTCACTATCAAATAATTCCTTTTTTTTAACATCTTTCTACTGTTTTTGCTAGGGAGCCATGAGTTCAGTTAACAAAGGGTCCAGAAGCATCAGGTCAGCAACATTTCCTATCTTGTTTCCTCTTATTGTCCAATATAGAAACATTCATCCATGTCATACTGGACAATGGACTTTATAGTGTGGTGATACATTTCTTTGTGTCATTTCCATGTAGCATTGAGCTTCACTGAGCTAACAAACAGAAGAAAAAGACATTCTAAAATGAATCTTACTCTTTGACTTTTCCGAAGGACTTTCACTAAATGAATGCTTAAATATTGTGAGAGTTGCTCTGTTTAAATATTGATAATTTTGCCTTGCTAAAGCAGATTTT